AAAAAAAAAAAAAAAAAAAAAAAAAAAAAAAAAAAAAAAAAATCCATTATTTTGCTTAAAACAAAATAGGGTGGGCGTGTTGATGCATCCATCAAACATGAAAGGATCATAAACTAAGCTCTTAGTGTATTGGAAATAATTGATACAATGTGTACGAAAACTAATGGAGGTTTCTGAATTATGGGTGGTAGCAACTAGCAACCTTAGCATATACGAAAACGAACATACAAGATATAATACGATGAAGAACCTTGAAATTCGAAAACTTCTCCCAGCTGCTATAAAATAAACAACGTTGCAAATGATGTAAGCACCTTTCGACGCAATTCTGAGAACAAGCCTTCGTGACTGTTTGTTTAAAATTTGTTTTGACGCAAGCGAGGTGAATTTGTGGAGGACAAAGTTTTACCTGCCACGACACGTTGTTAGGGGAGGAAGGGAATCTTGACAAGAAGCTAGTCATGGAGATGGGTAACGAAGGGAGTGGTGTAGAGAAAAAACAAAGAGAGATGAGAGAGTTACTTCACGAGAAGAAGCATAGTACTTATCGAATCTGCCAAAATGAATCTCACTGGCTACCATCCGTTGTTTCAAGCTCATGAAAAGGTACCACCATTGCTCTCTTAATCAAAATATTTAGTGTTTAAATTTTGATTTTGATATGACAGATTATGTTGAGATTTTTAACATTAATTTAATTTTATCTTCTTATTGTTAAATTGTTTAATTTTAAAAATGATATAATATTACCTTCTTCTTTTTTTTTTATCTAAATGAGATTCATAATACATGATACAACTAAATATTTATTATAAATATTAGAAATTAACAATTTTAGTGTCAACTACAAAAATGACAATATTATGTCATTTTTAAAAATTAAGAACTAAATTAATTCTTTTAATAATAATACAAATAAATTGAAATAATTAAATGATAAGAGGGAAAAAAAGTAATTTAACATTTTCTTAATATAGTTAGAGAAGCCAAAATTATTTAGAAATCTTTTATTAGTTCACTACACTAAAAAATAGAAATTGATTTCTTATTGTTTAATAATTTTTTAATTAGTTTATTACGGTTTCAAACTGTAAGAAAAATAACAATTTTTGGTGATTTTATTAAATAGAAAATTGTAATTGAACCTTTAGTCTTCTACAATTTTTGTGGTTAGATTTCTAGAGTTAGCAAAATCATTACAAAATGTTATTTTTTACCACTTCAAGCCACCTTAATTAACTCAAGAAACCCAATTACAAAATTGTAGAACGTTAAGTATCTAATTACATTTTTTTTAATACAGAAATCTAATTAAAAGTTCTCCCAAAAAAATTAGGAACTTATAAATGTTTTTTTTTTTATGATGGACCAAATATAATTAAAGAAACTTTAGTTTTTTCTTCCTTTAGTTTTTTTATTTTATAAAACATTCATTTTAATTTTATATAAAATAATAAAAATAAAATAAAAATTAAATTAAATGGATTATTTAAAAAAAATTTATTAAATTAAGAGTTAAAATAACCAACATTTACCATCTGGACAATTAAAATCCAAGTAACAATACATCCAAAAGAAGGGGGAAAAAGCAAATAAGAATATCATTTCATACTTTTTGCATTGCTAACTAATGTAAGGAGTCCTCTTATTTCACTGCACTCTCGTCTAACAAATATGAGCACTTAATGTAAATTATATACTCTAAATTATTTGCGAGGGATTGGATTCTGTAAAGTATAAAAATGTTACACTCGGACACTGCAATTTCATTGGCTAGACCCACGGGTTCATAACTAAACAATGACATTATTACAAATACAAATAGAATATAACTGTTTGCTCTCGGTTGCAAAGCAACAACAATTATGGACTAATATTATAATGTGGCCCACCTACAACAAAATTATGCAGGCGAACCTGTGAATTTAATATGAATCCTTCTACTTGTTTTTATCATGAAATTCTGTCAGTTGCACTAATAATTCAAACCGAAGGGGCACCAGCCTTGTCAAGTTCTTCCAAAGCAGCCCACAATTTTGGATCATCATAATCCTTAATCAGAAAGGCAGGCTTTGCTTCCATCAATAAGCTTTCTGGGTTTCGAGTAGCTAAACCAATAACGGGCATCCCAGCTGCAACTCCAGCTTTGATCCCTGAAACAGAATCCTATGACCAAAGAAACAAATAATGTGTCAAAAGCAGATCCAGAAAAAAAAAAATATTCTTCAAAAAGGCATTATAAAAATGCAGACCTCAAATACAAATGTGTGATCCTTTGATGCCTTCAGAGCTTCAAGACCTTTCAGGTAGGGGTCTGGGTGAGGCTTGGCATGTTCACATTCACCACCAATAATAATAGCCTCAAAGAAATCTGAGAGACCAAGTAGTGAGATCATGAGTTCTGCATTTGCTCTTGGAGCATTGGTAACTGCAGCTCTCTTCAACCCATGATTTTCAATCCATTTCTTCACTTTGTCAAGGCCATTTAAAGGCTTCAATTGCTCTGCTGCCAATCTGCATAATCCATCAGGGAATTATCTTCTGAAGCTTCAAATGGACCACATGGGTAAAGGGTGGAGACAGAAAATTAAATAAAGTAAGCATGGTTTACCTCCGGAACATGGCTTCCTTATCATCTACAAACTTTAAACCTCGTTCAAGATCACCAGGAAAGAGAGCCAAGGCTATATCATCATTGTGTTTACCAGCTACAGTCTCAATAAAGAATTCCTCATCTATAGGAACACCTCCATTAAACCCAATCTGATAACCATAAAAGCTTTAGATTTTTAATAGCTATTTATCATGTGCTTAGTTATAGTGATTTATAGATACTAAAAAAGGAATATTGCAACAAAAAGAAGATAATATTTTTCTTCTTCAATATTTTGCCTTGAAACTTTTCAATAAGAAAAGGCATACTACCTCTAGAAGCATTTCACGGAAGGCATAGTAGTGGAGCGGATCAGAATCACAAAGTGTTCCATCTATATCAAAGAGCACTGCTTCAAGTGGAGCGAGTTTGGTAAGAGAACTCTGGCTGCTGGCACAACAAGAAGGTAATGAGTGAGTGACAAGTACAGCTAATGATAAAATAGAATATGCCTATATGCTAAAATTTCTATCACGAAGCATGTCAAGAACCAAGTAAGAACTAAGCCAAAAGCATAATCTATTGGGTAATATCTGACATATCCCTGAAAGAGTCCTTTTGATTTAAGACATAGTTAATACACTGTTACGACTTGGGATAAAGAATAAACGGAATCAGAGTAGTTACTACTATTTAGCATTTAGGATTTAAAATTTAGAAAAGTTGGTTAATTAGAGGGTATCATAGACTAGGCCCATCATATCTATAAATAGGAGGATACTATGGTAGAGAGGGGAAATTCAGATCAGTAAACCTTTGTAAAAATAGAGCAGTGGCTCAGTTGTAAAAGGGGAAACTCTTGAAGGAAAGATTTTTCTCCTATTCCTTATCTTTTCATCCTATTTAATAAAATTGTTATTTTCTTTTCAATTCCTATTCTTGGTTCCTAACAAGCACAGACTACAGAAGCATTCTATGTAGAAGAATAAATATAACAAGGATTGAAGAGGCTTTAATACATGCCATAGGCTAACTGTTTCAAAATCATAAACTGTTGGGTGAAGGCACATAACGTTTTTTATGTCTAACAATGCAAGCCATATCTAATCTATAAAGTATGCCAGCCCTTTGTGGGGCTGGTCAGGTAAACAAAAAAGACAGCAATGTGAAAATAATAACAAAGAACTTGACATATCACACAGGATACATTCACTAGTTTGGGCATTAAGTGTTAATTCTCACAGATGTAACAGTAAAGGCATGTAAACGAATGCAACAGATAATCCAGTAATTGATAATTCAATACATCTTTGAAAACAAAACTTAGATACAATATCATAGGCACTAAAGGTGGCTATTGGTATTCTAGCAAGCCACCACAGCTCAAATCTGCTGCTGTGGCTGACTCTAACCAGATCACCACATTGCAAAACTACCTAAAACAGGATGTAGCAAACAACTTGGACTTTGTCCATGTTAATGACATATGGCCTCTTCACCTCGTATGGGTATCCAACATCCAGACAGCCACATGCTCCTTTGCATAACCCATGAGGCCAGTTCAAGGCAGACCAAACTGGATTCAGACATTAGGGGTAGCAAACTTGCTCTAGGTTTACCCTTCTAAGGTTACATTACTAGTAGAGTTTGTCAGATCCTAACATCAATGGACTTTCTGCACCTGCCACGCAGGGAATTGGGGCAGTGAAGTATCTTACCACCTCTTAATATTACAGCAGCAGTGCAGCACCTTAGTTAAGTTGTTGGCACTTAGCACCTATGTGATAAATCCAACATTTATGGTTTTTTCTTGAGGTTCAAAATTATGAACAATCTTAAAAAAAGGCTCTTGTTTTAACTTTCAAGATGGGAAAAGGTAAATACTCAAAAAGCATCTAAATTTTTGGGTGAAAAATCCAACCTCCTCTCCCCTTTGCTCTATATGATTTTATCTCAACCAGAAAAATGACCACAAATCCATCCATCCATCAAATATATTTATTTGTAAGAAAGGATCGATCCATCTGAACTACTGATACAATTTACAACAGAGTAAAACCGAAGTGTGAATAACAATTGCTTATGACAGAACGATAAGTGATTCAAAAAACAAGTTAGGTTTCTGAAACACATAGGATTGGGACATAAAATGTCACAAACATTGCAATAAAAGAAAAATAAAACGATGGGTACCTTGAGATGCAATTTTCAGAAGAAGCCGTCATAGATTTATTGGTGAAGGCCGTGCCTGTGGTATAGAGAGAAAGAAAAAAAGAAGAGGCATATATATTTACATAACATCACTCCTCATGTTATTCTTAATGGAATCGAATCTCCCAAAAAGCATCAAAAAAGTACATGGCCAATATGCCACGTGCCAAAACCTTAACCAATAAATCAGAAAAAGAAAAAAATAAGAATGCAAAAACTTTAATTTTGAAAAACAAATTTAAATAAATGTTTAAAATTATTAAAACAATTAATTTGATCATTAATTTGAACCTTGACTTAAAAATAAACTAACAACTAAAAGCACCACTTTTTTTTTATTGGAGTTAAAAATAAATAAAACGTATATGAGTAAATTTGTAAGACTAAAATCTTAAACTTACTTATTTTTCAAGACATCTTTAAAATTGATATGAAAATATATTAATTTTTTATGGTATACAATATAAATATAATTGAAATATATACTAAATTATATTTTGTTATTTTTTATTTTTAAGATTTATTATGATTTTTTTGTTTTTCAAAGGATTCATTTTTATCTTTTTATATTTTAATTTGTCAATTTGATCGTGTAATTTTAAGATAATTTTTTGATTGAAGACATAAAACTTGTCTAATTAAATTTATTTAATTAATTTTCAAACTGAAAGAAATTATAAGTATATTAAAAATTAGATTTTTTTTACTAAATTATATTTTATTATTATCATATTACTTAATTATTCTATTTTTATTATATTATTAGTCAAATTGACATATTCTTCACATAAAGATAAAGAATCTCAAATATAAAATTTAAATAAAATATATATGAATAATCTAATAACAATAAAATAATAAGTGATTCAATTAGATTAATAATAATCATTAGAATAAATTTAAATATTATATAAAGAATATGAAATTTGGACGTAATTTAACTTACAAAATTGATTTAGAAAATGAAAATTAATCTCTCTTATATATTAAATATTTATCATACAACCTATTAATGTAAGATTCGACAATAATTATTTTAAAAGTTAAATTATTATGTAATCATTTATGATTTAATAATAATTTGATTTTTTATATATTATCCGTGTACAAAATATTTGCTCTGTTGTGAAGAAAACTGTCGGGAATTTTATTTTTGTTATTCTAAAAAGGTGTTTATAAAACAAAATTTCATCAAAAGATGACCCCACTTTCTTGGTAAGCAAAGAAGGTGTTTGCTTAGTCTTTTATTTCATAAAAAGTGGATGGTGGATGTTTTTTTTGAGTTAATTACTTATATATTATTAGTATAAAATTTTTTCATATTAATAATTAATCATATTTTTTAATAATGTTATATCAGTTGTTTATTTAATGAAATAAAAATAAAATAAAATAATTTAAAAAAATTAATTAATCTCCAGCGGTCAATTTCGTGCGCCAAATGCCATTTTTATATTTTAGTAACGAAGTCTTTGTTTTCCGCCACAAACTAACACTATTCAATATATAAAGAAAGCAAACTAAAAAGTCATTTTCTCTGTATCCTTCAACTTCCAACTCAGCTTGCACTAATCAAATTCAAATTGGCCACGTTTTCACATGATATATAATAATAAAAAATTATACTTATATCATTTATATAACATGCGAAATCAGTAATCTAATTTTTAAATTATTTAATATTATTTACATGATTAATAATATTAAATACAAAATCAATCTATCTAATCAAATATGGCGAACAACTGGTTTTTTGATTCGCAAGAAATTTATAAACTTTATTTAATTTATAACAACTTTCAATAACTTTATTTAATTTATAAAAACTTGCAATTCAGTAGTTTTATTGATCAGTTTTATCAGAAAATATGTGATGCCTTGTTTAACAACATTATTTAATAACAGGCTATCATTTAAGGTAATATGTTAATTTTTTTATTTTTCAAGTATGATAATTATATAATTTTAGATCTTTAAGTTTAATTTAAACAAATTAAGATTTTAAATATAATAATTGTGTTCTTTTGATCTCTTTGTCAAATTTTGTTAAAAATCTAGTAATTTTAATTGATTTGACACCGATTAAGTAAATGATACAATGGTTAACATAACACAATGATATGTCATGTAAAAATAAATTTTTATTTTCTTATAAATATCATTTTATTCTTATAAAGGATAACCTTATGTAAAAATGTTATATCAACTCATTAAACAAAATAAATTTTAAAAATTGTCAAAATGTAGAAGATGAGAATTGAACTCTACATATTTACCTATAATAATAACATTTAACTAGTACACTAATAAATTTATTTAATATATAATTAAAAATTATGATATATATATATATAATAATTTTTATCAAATTGTATTATTCAATAACTTTTAATTAAATATAAATTTTTAAAATCTTACATTTAAATTAAAAGTTTTTTATTCTTAGATCATATATACAAAAATTTATTTTAATCTAAGATGATTTGATATCTCGTTCTTATAGAATAGTATATATA